TTTTTTTTTTAAATTTCGTTTTGGTTTCAAATTAAAAAATGTATTTTTAATATCTGTCAGTACCACTTATATTTTTTACTTATTTTATACAGAAAACAGAAACAAACAATTAGAACAATTAGCATTAGAAATCATCCCCATTTATTCATCTACATCACTACCCATAACAGAAACAAAAACCTCTAAAGTTAATATTTATTTAACTGAACAATTTATTCCCAAAAATGATTTTGTATTCCCTAAAACAAATGGAAGATCATGTCAGTTGAAATGGTTCAATTCGTTTAGTTGGCTTCATTATGTGAAAGAAAAAAATGTTGTTTTATGTTATCCGTGTGCTTTGGCCAGTCAAACTAAAAAAACAAAAATAAAAATTCATGGGCAAGAATCGTTTATCGATACTGGATTTCAAAATTGGAAGAAGGGCACTGAGCGGTTTTCTATACACGAAAAAAGTGAAAACCATAGAGCATCAATAGAATATTTAAATTTTCGTAACAACAAGCGTCCTGTTATATCTTTAATTACTGAACAGTCTTTAAATGAACAAAAAGAAGCTCGTACAGTATTTAAAATTGTTATTAGCTCTATTCGTTACTTAGCTCGTAGCGGTCAAGCTATTCGTGGTGGTACATGGGACTCTGGAAACTTAATTTATTTATTACAAGAGCGTTCACTTGAAAATCCTGCACTAAAAATTTGGCTTGAAAAACGAAACAATTGGTTAAGTGGGGATATTCAAAATGAGTTACTTGAAACTATGGCGCATTTTGTTTTACGGAAGATTAAAAATTCAGTTCTAAAAAGTCCATTTATGGCCATAATGGCTGATGGCACTACAGATATTTCTGGTCAGGAACAGTTTAGCATTTGTTTTCGTTTTTTAAATACAATTTCTTTAAATATAAACGAAATTTTTGTGGGAATGTATAATCCTCCAAGTGGAAATGCTGAAACATTATTTTCTTGCATCAATGATTTATTGACACGTATGTGTCTTAGTTTTGAAAATGTTAGAGGACTTTGTTTTGACGGAGCGGCAACTATGTCTGGTCATATAAGTGGAGTACAAAAGCGAATTTCTGATGTACAACCTAAATCTATATTTATCCATTGTTCAAATCATTCATTGGACTTAGCATTGAGTGATACTATTAAAACTGTAGATTTTGCTAATGATGCTCTAAATTTAATCAGATTTGTAAGCAATACAATCTTAGATTCATCAAAACGCAAAAACATATTTTCTGGTATTGTTCTTTCGACTAACTTAGATGAAGAAAATGACTATACAACTGAAAATATACCAGGCATTATTCCTTTTTGTCCTACAAGATGGACAGTCCGAGTAAAAGCAGTTAATAGATTTATAGAAAATTATGAAAGGGTTCTTTTAACAGTACAGGAAATTTTAAAAGATTCAAATTCAATTAGTAAAGATAGACGTGCAGCTCTCC